ATACATGTTAGGCTAATCCACATATTGCCAATTGGTTTTATGTTGGAACCTTAACACAAATGATAACTCTTTTTAATATGGGCTAAAAAATTGTTGTCATGGCCTTCTGGAACAATGAACGGGCTCCCTTAAGTCCAAAAGACATTACCTTCTATTGATATTGGGCATTGGGTATGCAAAAAGTATTTTTATATTTATCAAAAGGATCAATGCTTAAGGTAGCCCCCTCATTGTTCCAGAAGGTCATGACAAAAATTTTGAGCCCATATTAGACAAAGTTATCATTTACATAAATGATATCCTATTGTTCTCTCAAGACATAGACTCTCATAACAAGTTATTAGGTCAATTCTTTGAAATATATCATCAACAAGGGATTATGCTCTTAGAGAAGAAAATTCACTTGGACCAATGAGAAATTGATTTCTTTGGAAAACATTTCTGTCAAGGTTCATATCAACCTCAACCCCACATTACTGAAGAGTTTCTCAATTTTCCTAATGAAAACTTAACTATAAAGCAAATTTAACAATTTTTTGGAATCATTAACTACATCAGAGAATTCACTCCTAATATTGTCAGATATACTAGTCTCTTGTCTAAGTTGCTAAGGAAGAATCCTCCTTCTTGGAAATCAGAACTAACTCGAGCAGTAAAAAAACTTAAGAAAATAACTCAAACTCCTCCAGCTCTAAAAATCCCAGGAATGAAAAAAAAATACTTCAAACAGATGCAAGTTCAAAGATGTTGAAACACACTATCACATTACCTTCAAGGAAGCCCTAGCTATAAAAAATGGAATAAAAAAGTTTGATTTCCATCTCAGAGGACATAATTTTGAAGTACAAATGGATAACTCTTATTTTTCAAGAATCCTTGAGTTTAAAAATAGAATGTCTCCAAATCCTCAGATCCTCTGACTAAATGACTGGTTTTCAAGGTATGATTTTTCTGTTAAACATATCAAAGGAAACCAAAACACAATTCCTGGTTTTTTGTTTAGACCAAAGAAAATTGTCCAATTAATTTATAATACCTATACTTTTTCTCTCATTTTTATGGTCAAACTCTTATCCAACAAAGCCAAAACGGTAAGATTCTATCCTCCCAGACTGAATCCAACCTCTCAAATAGAAAGTATGCAAAATCTCGCTACTTTTATTTTCTCCATGAAACCCTAAAATACAAAACCTCTCCAACAACCATTTTTATTCTTGATATCCCTTTTGGATGAATTTTTGAAATATTTTATAAACCTGGGTGGGATCTTGATGAACCAACATTGTGACCAATATGGTGTAACACTATTCAATACTCAATCCCCATTGCATTAAAAACACAAACAACTCTTGAGATTTTAAAACATTCCTAGAAGGAAAAGTTTTATTTCTAGATTCTACTGGAATGGTTTTCACCGTTATTTTGGTGAAGACAAGAACTAAAAAGGATTATAGATTTCTAGAAACAAAGGGGAATGACTGAAGACTCTCTTAAAGATCTCATTTCAATCTTCATCATCCGTTGTCCATATTTGCAAAATCCTACAAGACAACTATGTTTAAAAAATGAAGCTTACATCTGGGAAAGTTTTGAAACATATCCTTTAGATGATAACTACAAAACCCAGCTAGCTAGACATCTTTGCGAAGTCAACAACTATCACTATAGACCGGTGGATCCCAATCTTACCAGTTAATCCCAAATACCACTCAATACTTATCCTCTGAATATGATCATTACAAAAGATAATGGTTCACAAAAGATAAGATTCTTCAAATTAATGATTGATATATACGTACCTAAAGAAGAATTCCAGAAAATTGAAGATTTGACAGATAATTACAATGAGGAATTAATGGAGGAAATGATGTTGCATAAAAGAATGTATCCTTACTAAGATCCACTACATGGAAGTATGACAAAGAACGAGGTACAACAACTGGATTGTTCCAATTCTACTAGATATGATTCAAAATAAAGGATTTAGTTAATGACTTTCAGCATGACAAGTTCATAAAGCAAGATTCTCTTATCTTTATACTTGTCCATTGCATGTACCGCAAATATGTTAAAGGAGATAAGAAAGAATCTACTTTACTTTTAAGATAAAGTTATCTTATCTCATCTTATTTTGTTTGTAAGATCATAGTAGCTGTGTGTCATAACCTTATCTTTAAATTCTAATTTGTATGATATTTTTAAGTTTGAATTTCAGTTTAATTTAATAAAGTTTTCAATTCCGTTTATACGGTGTGCCTATAAATAAGAAGGCTTGTCTAAGGCAGAATAAATGGAATACAAATTTTCTTTCTAAAAAACGTCTTCTCTCTAAGTTTTCTCTTCTCCGAAAATTTGAAGTATATAATTTTTATTATCTCCCTACTCGGATATAAGTATGTTTTGCACTTGCTTCTTATAAGAATCATGTATGTCAGAAAGCTTCCCATTCGTAAAACTATTTTATCTAAGTATAAAAAATATGAATTTAAGTGAACTTTGAACATACATTCAAAACTCCCATTATACAAACATTTAAAAAAATTATTTCAAGTTAAATTTTGATTGGATGAAAGTTTTCTACCATTCACGAACAAAACTACAATAGTTTGGATCAAAAGAAATATGAATAGAGAAATTAGAGATTTTAAGAGTCTAGCGAGATTATTCAATAAAAAAAGTATTTATAAATTTTTAATTAAAAAAGGATAAATATTCAAAATTCAGTTATTAATATATTTTTAATTTAGATGATGAATAATAATAAATATAATAATAATATAACAATTGAATTTTATTTTATAATATAATTTTTAAATTATTTACAATTTTAAACTAACATTTATTAAAAAAAATTAGAAATTTATTTCACTTTAATAAAAAAATGGTTTCTAATAATAAGTAATTGATTTTACGAGAAATCGTTTCAAACCATCTTTAGTTGTAATCAATTTTATGAAGATTTTCAGATTATGATTATTTTGAAAAGTTATGACAAACAAAAAAATAAATAAAAATTAAGAAATATAATTTTTTTATAAAAGTATATTATTATATACTTTTTTCATTTATTATAATTTTATCATACATAAATATTAAGAAATATAATAAATATTATTTATTTGATTAAAAGTAGAGATGCCAAAACAGATTAGGTTCGATGGGACAACCCACTAGTCCGTTAAAGAAATGATAGAATAGGTTAATATTTTTAGCCCGATCAACCCATTTTATCTCGTCCCGCCTAACCTGTCAATTCAGATCGATCAAGGACGGGACGAAGCTGACTAACTCACTAACCTACTTTAAAAATATTTATACATTAAAATTAAAATAAAAAATATTATATTTTTTCTATTATGTTCTTGAAATATGTAAATATATTATAATATTTTAATTTAAATTATAAAAATTAATCAATTAAATTGAAATTATTAAGTATAATTAACAATATTAATATAATAAAAATATTATTTAATAAATAAAAACTTAAAAATTATTCATAAGATATATTTAAAAAAAAATACATATAAAAAATTTTATATAAAAGAAAATTTATCGGTAAACTGATATATTTATCTGTTAGTCTACCCTAGTTATAGTGGGTCAACCCACTTCACTCCACTTTTGACAACTAAAACAGAACGGATTGATCCATTTTATCATCTCGAATCAAAAGTATATAAATGATTAAAGTTTTAAATGTAACAAATAAAAAAAATCAAAATTTAGTGAAAATTTGTAACATATAATGACCAACAAGTAATCACAAAATTAAAATTAATAAAAAAAACAGTGATAAGATTTGATATATATTGTAAATCAATATTATTTTTAATTTTTTAAAATAATAATATTATTTTAAAAAGCAGAAAGATTAATAAGAGTTTGTATCCATCTAACCTACTTTTATTTTTAATTTTAAAATTATAATACTATTTAAAAAAATATAAAGATTAATAAGAGTTTATATCCATCTAACCTAATTTTATTTTGAATATATATATATATATATATATATATATATATATATATACCAAAATTAGAAATAAAAACAATTTTTTACATGTCTTTTCATGATTTAAGAATTTATTAAATTCATCTCAAACTTTTAATAAATCCAGTTTTAAACCAAAATTGACCCACTTTAATTTAACTTATTATTTTTTAAAATGACAGATACCATTTTATCGGTTATTACCCATTGGGTATGAAAATCACTTTAATTAATGAAAAAAAGAATATAGATTCACAATAGTTGAGAACCAATAGAATAATATAATAATACTTATTATGATTATTATTATTATTATGATTATATTATTTTAAATTATTAATAATTGTATATTACACAACCGGTTTTCAACGTAGATCCTTAATTAATTAGAAATTATAAAATTCCTGGCATTGTCATCTATGGAGAAAACCCAATTTCAAGTCATTGGCACAAGGAGAAATTTGACAGCAAATCACACATCACTGTCTAAAATATTTTATTTTCACGACGCATCAATAGTTGCAGTTGAAGAAAATTAAATAGCAGGACCACCATAATCATCATTACAAATTTATTCTTTGCACTATATTCTGAATAAACAACAATTTAGGCAACAAGTCTTTTGCCCTGGTATTACAGGAACAGATAACAAAGATTTACAATGATAACTTTAGTTGAAACAATTTTGTAGATTTACATGACAGAAAGGGTAAGAGTGATTTACACTTTTGAGTAGTATACCATATCATCTCATCTCATGTATATATATATATATATATATATATATATATATATATATATATATATATATATATATATATATATATATATATATATATATATATATATATATATATATATATATATATATATATATATATATATATATAAAAGCAAAACGGAGACCAATCTGTAGAATGATCCTCGAAACCATTACTTGCATTTAGAAAAAACCTGCACATTTCAGCAAGCAAATCAAATTCCAAAGACTTGATCTCCAGAAGATTCATGCTTCAGGAATAGGTGGAAGTAGTTCCTGAAAAAATTGAAGGAATATAATAAGCATGAAGATACAACATTATACTTATGCAAGATTATTGAAACAGTTTAGTACATTACCTCAGCAAACTGAAGATACCCATGATTAACTTTAGAAGATTTAACAATTCTTTCCCACTTAGGATCAGGTAGTGCTGTCTTGGAAGTTTGAACTGGTGCATGTAAGTTGGTAGCAAGATCAGACCGTAAAAATATGTTCCTAGACGAAACTGTAGGTAAAGTGCGCTTAAGCCAAGACTCTGAAGGAGCTTTTGGTGAAGGAAGGACAAGAGGACGCTTCAGAGAGCTTGTTTTTGAAGTCTCTCCATGACCCAACTTCATATGCAATTGACTTTCTGAGTCAATCTTTGTGTCACCTACCACCTTTGAGCAAGTCAAAGCCCTGGGATCCCCACTAGATCCAAGAGCGCGTTCTTGATCAAACACTTTGGTAGCTGACAGCCAATTTGAATCAAATTTCAAATCACTGGTTAAATTCTTGTTTTTCCATGAAACTGGATTCTGAACGAGACCATTAGAACCTTCCTCAATGCTAAAAGCTTTTTCTTCAGACTCCATTGTTTTGGATTCAACCATTTCTGGACTTGAAATTATAACCAAATCACGATTTAATTTGTTCCCTTGGTAATTAGACTTTGTCAATTCTTGCTCTTCTGGGCATATTTTGTTGGAATGATTTTTCATTTCTATTTGCATATCATCATTTGAATAAACAGAACAAACCAGCAGAGATGATTCAAGAGAGGCTGAACTTTTAGGTTGTAATACAGTCTTCTCATCCACAATACCAAGGTGTTTGCTATCCTCAATTGAAGAATCTATATGAAGATTTTTATCAAGACCAGTGTCTTTTCTTGTAGAATCAAAATCATCCCTTCTGTGATTCGTGTCCGAAGAACATGAACTTGAAGATTTGACCTTATGTACAGAATCTACATATAGAGTTTTCTCAGAAACAGGGCTTTCACAGCTAGACTCAAATTGAGAGCTCTTAGAGGCTAATGATTGGCTGCAACCTCTGCGAGGTGGATCAATACCATGCTTAGAATTTTCCGCTGTACCAGGGAAATTTTTCTCTCTTGTAAAGCCGGATTGAGAATTTAGAGACATTTTCCCATTATTAGCAGTTCTTCTTCCATGCTGTAGAAGAAAAAAATGCAAAAAAAAAATGATAATAAAGTCTAAAGTGAAATAATAACAGAAATAAAACAAAGATGTAGGTATTAGGTGGGTCTAATCTATACCGTTTTGGAAGTTCTTCTGTCAGATTTACTCTGCACTCCATGTCCTGTAGAACTTGGAATCCTACCTTCCATTCTTAATCCTGGAACTGGATTCAAAAGGCAGAACCGAGGAAATAGTCCACAAACTTTGGGTGCATAGTTTTCATATCCATCGTTATCATCACTTTCATCTTCACTTTCTTCCCTACCAATATCTTGAGCATAATGTGGCAAAACCTTTTGCCATTTCTCATTAAGGGGGCGAGAATTTGCTCCAGTAACTACTTTCCTTACCAGTTTTGGTTGTTCTAGTGTAACAAGTGGCTTCCTAGAGTGGTGTTGAACTGAAGGTGTTTCTGAAGCCATTGCCTTTGCTGCAGGCAAGAACCTGCTAATCATGAAATCACGTGCCTGTTGATCTGTTGAAAAACTTCCTGATGGTTGGACCTCTTGATCATCCCATTCACTCAAACCACTCACACTACAGCTCATGAAGAATGATTCAGTTCTGGAAAGTGTATCAAGAGCATCTAGATAGGTCTCATCCTCGTTGTCTGAACCAGAATTTGCCTTCTCCTCAGTTATTTGTTTGGGGCTTTCATGTTTGTTCCCTCTATTATCCAAAAATGGAGCATGCTGAGAATCTAAAACACTGCTTCCTGTCCTGGATTGAGTAACTGATGTAACTTTAGCATCTTTATCAGAATCTTGCTGATCAACTTTCAAAACCCTCCCAGGTGGGAGCTTTGGGGCAACCGAAGGCCGTTCAGCAATCTGTGCTTGTAGTCTGCTTTCATTCTTAGGCCTTCCAGGAGTCTTCTCCCACACAAAAGGAACAGTTCCAGGGTTACTAACTGGACCTGATTTTAAATCTGATTTGTAAAAAGGAAGAGGAGGTCTTTTGGGTACTGCCTTATCAGGTTTCTTTTTATTGTCATTTTCAGAGGCCACTATTGATGAGATTCTCCTTACTGATAAAAGAGGCTGATTAAAATCTAACTGCTTATCTTCCATTAGAATCTTTAAAATCATCTAATTTGTTTCTGCAAAACCCAAACTCAAATCAAATTGAAACTCAAACTTGACATTTTCATATGCATGACAGACCACATATCAAGAAAACAAGCTGACATTTTTTGCATTTGTCAATCCTTTACTAGTTTCAATTTACAAGTGAAACATGAAGTTGATTTAGCATAAAGAAAATAATCTCAAGAAACTTTGTAAATGAAATATACTGTACAGAACAACAGTATCCAAATTCAACTCTACATGCTTCACGATTTAGTTATTACTATGGAAGGCATAACAGTGATTGAACATTGACTGAAAGTTGAATCAACAAGAAATTTGAGTCAGCGTCTAAAGGATGATATGACTTTCAAGGTTTTTCATATCTTTAGGTTCAATCTACTACCCAGTAAATCATAATTAGCAATGGATACCATCCTATTAGCTTTCTATAATATGGAATCAATTTTAGTCATAACATTACCAAATAACCATTCCAACCAAGTTTTTTATTCAACCAGTTCCATCAATTATATATATGAATTTCAACTATTCGTCTCATTCCGGAAGAAGGAACAAACAGAATCAAGGAAATTGCCATACATGAAGCTGAAAATTGAAAGAAGACTATTCAACAGATGTCAAACAAACAATTTAAAGGAATACCAATCGACAAATAAGACAAAATTTCACCCTTATCTTATGCAATAAAAAAACATGTTGATAACGCTTCAAATTGCGTAACTAAAAGAACTCTTGGATTTGAAAGCATAACAGCCTACCCAATACTGAAATCACAATCAAACCAAACCTGACCACTTTCAAGAACACACAATCATCAGAGAAAGGCAGATTTTGATTAGTAAGAGGAAAGACCGTCGTTTTTTCAACTGTCATATTTTCATTCCGTTTTTCTCATAAAGCCAATTTATTAATTAAACAAGAAAAAGGGCCATGAAGTTTAGTTTTGAATTTCATGGAAGGCACCCTCTACAAGCGTAAAGATACGTTTTTTACACGTTTTCCGACCAAACAGACAAACCCCACTGTATCATTCATCATCAGCTACCAAACCCAAGAAACACCGACACAGAGAGAAAAAAAGAAGAGTGAAAAGGAACCTCGGTAAAATGACCAGACCCGGAAATCAAGTCACTATCTTTCTCTGGAAAGTTGATGAAGGAAAAATCAAAGACAGAGTCAAAAAGAAAGAAGAAGATAGAAACAGAGGAAATTTCGTAGCTTAAAGAAGAAGAGCAAGAGAGAGAAAGAGGAAGTAAGAAAGTGAGAGAGTAGTAAGTGTTTGAGAATAAATTCGATTTGTTGGGTTGTGTTTATTGCTGCTTGGTTGGCTTTGGCTGCAGAGCAAAACTGAACTTACCATACCACCTTATGCTGCAATTTGCAAAGATGCAATATGCAACATTCTTTTCTATTTATCCCTCCACGTATTTAATGACAAGTAATATTCTATATTCTAGTATGTATATATAATAATAATTTATAAAACTAGGAATTTTTAAAATTTTAAATTTATTATAAATAAGTTTTTTCTTCAAATATATAATTATTTAACATTTATAATAAATCATTTAAATTATGATAAAAATGCATAGACAAGAAAAAAAGTAATTTTAGACTATTCAAAGAAATATCATATAAGATGCACATTTTGAATAGAATAAACCATGCAGAGAATATCTAATTAAAAAAAGTAGTTAAGTTTCATTTATAATACTTAAATACATTATTTTCAATCAATTTTTGTATTAATTTAAAAATTTAATTATAACTATTTTATTAAAAAGAAAAAGATATTTAATTTAATTTTACAAAATTAACTTAAGTGAGAAATGTATTTCCTTGTATATTATAATACTACGTATTTAGTAAAGAAAATTTTGTTATCACTGACTCTAGAAAAAAGACAAACAAAATATTTATGAAACATAAAAATAATAACGAGATATTTTGTCTAATATATTTTAAAATTAAAAGTAAAACTTGAATTAATATAATACTTTAGACTGGCACCTAATAAAAATTCATTAAATAAGAAGATGGGACACGATTAAATGTTTGTATAAAAGAATTACCTTGAGTATTTGATATGGTAGTCATTAAACTTTGATCATTCAGTGAAATGGATTAAATATGAAAGAGTATTTTATAGTTCATGCCAAACCCGCGTTTTCTTAGGAAAAAAAAAAAAAGTGGACGTTAGTTGTGAGTATTTTAATGGTGACGCAGGTTTTGGAGTTTGGAACATTTATTTAGGGGGCCACTTGGTGTGGAATCATGTGAAGGAAAAGGTTGCCATGGCCAAAAAAAGTGCCTTAAAAATATGCAAAATAGACGAAGAAAAGATCTTTGAAAGATGTAAAATCACCCAAACTTTATTCTACGTCTTCAATTATTGAGGGTATGAGCTTAGCTCACACATGGGTCCACTTCATTTCTTTTGCATTCATGCAATGACGGTGCCACCTCCTCCTCCTTCCTTAATTTTTTATCCTTAGGTTTAGTTTGGTGTTTGATGAAACCTACCGGTGAATTAACATAAAAGTGAAAATTTAGATAAATAAAATTTGAGGTAGTAAGATATATGAATGCCATAAAAAGTTAAGCATCTACACTCTAGTACAAAACAATTTAGAGGAAAATTAATTTAGTTTAACCGTGTACGCATCGGAAATTGGAAAAATGAGAATATGACAATATAGTAGGTAAGTTCTGCGTACGGATGGTAAGTAAGACCAACTTGTGTAATAATAATAATAATATTACTAGTAGTTAGAACGAGAACATATAGTATGAAATAAAGTTGGTAGAAATAAATAATTGCAAAAGTAATAATTAAGAGCACTATAACAATGACAAAGACCAAGTTAAGATGCCTAACAATAATAATAATATTGATCATAGCTTTTGAAGAGTATTTGGAAGGAATAGATTCCTATGGTTATGGAGTGGAATCAATGGTCAATGGTATGTGTTCTACTCCAAAAATGTCATCTCAAACACTATTGATAACGCCATTGAATGATTGAATCACTAGTCAAACTATTTATAAATTATGTATATCCAATTGGAGACTAACTAAATTCAACCAAAATTATTAAATAATATTAATAATTATAATAAAATTATACTATTATTTCATTTAATTATTTTAGTATCCGAATTTAAAAAGATTAAAATTTATTCAAATATTAAATAATATAAATCACTCTTAATAATATGTTAGAACTCAATCTCACTCAAAAGTAAACAAAAAAAAAACTCAATTTAATACAAAACTTTTATTAGATTAGATTATCCTATCACGATACAACCCCTAATTACCGTAATAGCTTGAGATTGGAAACCTTAAAGCAGGTATTGTGCAAGTAAAAAGAGCAGCATATGAATTTTGGTTGAGAGATATAATAATATAAATTGGTAATAACTTCATATTTAATTTAATTTGACCAAAATTAAACCAAATAGATCCATTTAAGTCAACACTAAAAATTAAGAAAATTGGAAACGATTGATCTCGAAAGCGTCAATCTAATTGAATTTTATTTACCTCAGATCGAGAGTCCACATGTTGACCCTATCCAGCAAGGTTTCTCTTATTAACAGGTAGAAAATTGAAGGACGAAGCAACTATAAAGTTTGAATGCATTGGTTTGACTTCTTACAAAATTGAGGTGTGACCTAGTTGTTGATGAAATGCAATTAATATTGAATATAGTTTTTGAAGAAAATAGTATTAAACACTTGCAACAAATCAACTCTCATGTTGTTGTATTTTTAACCAATCAAACATTAATGAAGAGAAAGGTATGTATGCAGCAGTGTTATTTATGTTTTCGCAGTAACTCTCGTGCATGTTTCAAGGCAACCACTGCCTGATTTATTGCAGAAAAATTTTACATTAACAAAAGGTTTTTGTATATGCATGGTTGAAATAACTTCATATAACTGCCTATGAAAATAATGTCAATAATATCTGCAAAAATGAAAGGATAGGATAAGGTATATATAGTTGGTTCTAATTTAAGCCATTTAATGTAATTCGTGGTTGAAAATTCAAATATTGAAGCTTGCACGAACTTCTGATGCCATATCCGTGAAATGCACGTAACAATGTAGTTTTTTATTTTATAAATATAAAAATATATTCACCCGTTTAAAAAAATTTATAAATAACAGATTAAGATGCATAATTTTTATAAATATTTAGAATATTTTAAGATATTTTTAAATTTAAAGTATTGAAACTATGGTGGATTTTAAATTCGGAGGTGATAATTTGAAACTAAAGGGACAAGGAGAAATGCTATTCGAATAGAACTTTTATCGGGTAAATAATTTTTTTATTATGTGATTTTAATTATTTATAAGTTTAAGAGAAAATTCCATACGTGGAAATATTTCCCAGATTTTGGAATCATATTATTGATAATAGGTTATATATTTAGATAGGTTATATATTTAGAGAAGTTATACTTCAGGAATATACGGCTAAGAAAGTTGATTATTTAAGTAATAAACATGTTTGGAAAGGGGTATATATATGACCTGATTATGTTGTAACATAATAGAAATGAATATTTATGAATTTTGGAGTTAAGTGATAAACTTATTATATGTTTATGAGTAAATGAATAGTATTTGTGGGTATTTGGATGGAGAAAAGAGACTAAGAAAAAACCTTAATTTTAGATCAATTTTTGTTTGAAGGAGACCTAATTTATTTGAGCAAGGACAAGATAATGGAAGTAATGACGTAAAACGGTGGTAGATCACTTAAGCGATAGTTCCTCACCCAAGAGAAAATTAAGTCAGTTCAATTTTCGTTATACTACTTTCGTTAAAATAAGTGTTAAATCAACTAAAATTTTGTATAAGTAAGATTATCTTCGCTCAAATAAGACGAGAGAGAATTGATATATTTAAATTTTAGATCAAGCGAAACTCTCATTATGTATTTTGTCTAAACATGTAAAAATGAT